CCAATTTGTTCTGGGCCCGAGGTGGGCTTAATAACCGGCGACTACTGTATAAAGCAATTGGTTGGTGTCATTTATTGTTATTGTAATTCATTTCAGCGAAAAGGCCCATTGATTTTTTCCTACCTCAATAATATGTTCCCTTTCTCCGTTTTCAGTGACGCTGCGGTGTAAGGAGTAAATTACAGTAAACGAAGCGATTACACTTTACAATTTGTTAGCGTTGGTGGCTAGCATCTAAATTAATTCAAAACACGGCGACTTATCAGACCGTATTACTTCTTTCATTTCGCCCAACTCCTAATGGCATCCGTTAGTGTGTAGTTACTGCAGCCCACTGGATCTCGTGATTTATCGCCTGAAGTTTATCAATGTAATTTACTGAGATTTTTTATTTATCCTTATTGTTTTCTAAATGTCTTTCTAGGCGTCGTTGATACTGGCCTATTTCTAGGCCTCGCAGTCCGCGCTTATTTCGGAAAGGCAGATGGTAGCATTGAAAAGTTGACTAAGTAATTCGAACTTTCGGCGCTACTTATCAACAATTTTCTGACATCCCTCTGACCACCAGATAAATTCAATAGTAGAATCTTCAACATGTCGAAAAGGCCCGTTTCGAACCGTTCTTCGGAAGATGAAAACGCTTCATTTGCTACTAGCATTATTAAATTTAAACTTATTAAACTGCTCTTATTATAGTGTTTCGTTTTTTTTCTGTACGACTGTTTTTCGAAATTTGAAAATTAAAGACACAGCTAAGTCGGTCATTTTTAGCTTTTCAGACATTAGCCTTAATTTGGCACTAGGCCTTTTGTGTTGAGATTTAGGGACTAAAATTGGGACTCTTGTATTCTTTCCTTGTTTATACGTATGTCCTATCTAAAAGTATCGGTGGCTACGCGCGCACGCCGGCGGCTGAAAATGAGATTTGTGGGTTACTAATGCCCAAACTGCAAAAATATGATATATACAGAAGTACATTACCGACAATGCCAACGGTGACTAGGATGGCCATTTCTGGCTTATTAACCGTCGTCAGCTGGTCGTACTCAACCTAAGTGTTGCCCCAGAAATTGGCGCCCTAGTCGAGGCTCGAACCTTTTGGAGCTAATATTCGCTGCCTTGCCGGTTTTTGACCGGGAGTATGCAGTAGCAGATAGGCGTACAGTTACAGGACACAGTTGTCCCGCCCTGGTGTCTTTGGAGCTCACACTCGAGCGAAGCCGCAAGGCTCGTGGCCTACAGACCGCCCCATGTGTGCAGGTTCCTGGACGTTGGAGCTGCTTGTGAAGCACCTCAACGAACCGCCCGGTGGTCTGAATGTATGCCAAGTAATTTCCGTGTGGAACGTTTAATTTTTTTACCAAACTGGTTGATTATACTTCCAACGTGCACAGTCTTTGATTACACACTGTATCTGCAAAATACAGCAACGAACTACTGACGGCCGAGAGGTGTTGGCGAACGACGCTCATTGTTAAAAGTGCTGATGCTGCCCGCTGATTAGTATTGCACGATTTGAAAATTCAGTCCCTGTTGACGACTACCAGCGCCCACTAAATTGTCTGGTTAGGCCTTCTCACTAAGCACAAGTCATTTATCCATAAAGAGCGTTAGTTTCCCAAGCGTTGACAGTAATTTGTTTGAAATTCTGAGAGACGCGCCTGATGACCATTTCGGTTTAAGAGTTACAAGGTTAAGTGTAGTTGTAACCTAGAACAGCCAAGCTGGTGCTTCAACGAGAAGTTACCTATTCCTGTAATGTTTTTCGGAATGACCGGACCAAGGCTGAATGCAAATTGTTAGGTTATCTTGTATCCTTTGACGCGTACGTCAATCCACATCGATACCAACGATTTGTGTAGTACGGTACTATTCAGCAAATAGTGAAAAATCGACAATGTGCAAACCTTAACAGTGGATACACGTAGTCAACAACAAAGCAGTCGGCCAAATATCGCCTGGCTCTAGACAAAGGAGCAACGCATGTTCAATAACGGCACACGTGTGCAGGGCGAAGCCAAGCTTGGGGGAGCGGCTGACCGCTGATTTTATGTGACTCGGGTCAGTTCATGTGGTGTCCGATTGGTTTGGAACATTGTCCGAAAGAGGTGTCATGTACAGAGGCCCATACTGCGTTGGTGGACGAGTGGCGTGTTAAAGGGGCAAAGGGGCAGTCGCAACTGTTTTTGACACGCGTGTGCAGCTGAGTGGAAGTCGGCCAAGAGTCTTCCGGTCCAAGCGTCATACAGTTGCATGACTTTTAAACAGTGGGCATTAAACAAAGGCAGGGGAGTGGTGAGCAGCATTGTTGGGGGAAAGGGATTGAGTAAGGGGAACGGACAGCATTGTTGAGGGAAGAGAACAATCGTATGGAGGTCAGACAGAATTTCACCAGAGAAGACCCAAAACTGTTCAGCCAAAGATAACACTACCAGTTAAATTAAGTGTGGAATTTCTGTGTCCATTTGTTGATGGGACTGTTTAATTCGCCTAACCACAAAGCCCCCTGTTTCGGTCTTCTACGCCCTCCTCACCTAATTTATTGGACGCGATGAAATTGCCGAATTTCTAATCAAGTGTAAATGTTGTTACTTTAAAGGATTGTTATGGGATTTCGCCATGTTCAGATGCATTATTTCCCACAAGCGTTGATGTCCACAATGTGCCCTACGAAGTGTTGACTATAGGACAGTGACTTGCGCGTGACATAAATTATTAGTGATAGGAAA